ATAATACTAAAATGAATTAATATAATATATTAATATTGAATATTTAAAACTACCAATTACTGATCTTCCCTTTCTACCCCTCCCCCCAACCCTTCATCAGTGATCTGAACTCCACACTCCACTCAGACCTGTTTCGCCGCCCCTGTCAGTGTTCGTTAATATTTGTATATAAAGTAAAAAAAATGGTACCCAATCAAAAAGTAGTTCATACGGTCCTGTATGTTTACACTTTCGCGCTTATCTGCTCCGCTCGATCAGCTGTAGTGCACCACCGGAGCTGACCGCTGATCAGACTTCTAGTGTATGTTCGAGGGAATTTTGATTCATTAAATATTTTTCCAAATTTTTTATTTTATTTAACAAAAAATTCATTCTTTGAGATTTAGCCAGGCCTAGAGAAAGTACTACTGGACCAATTTTTCTGATACTCGTGTGAATGCATGTTTTTTCAGGAATTTTTTTTAAAGAACTGGTAAAGTTTATTGAATTGGTAAAGCATACCTTAAAGTACACAATGTAAGCTTATTATAAAAATTTTTTTTTTATTACAAAATGACGGCGTTACAGGCGTTTGACGTTGCATATTTAATTTTGCGCTGTGCAGTCTACATGTCACAAATCTCAACTAAAATTAAAAATCAAAATTTTGTCCGTTAAAATACGCAAATACGCTTTGCCTTACTGGAAACTCTTCTATAAATTAAATAAATTTTTAATAAATGGGCTTTGTCTTCCACGCAGCAATTAAGAGTTTCGAGCGATAGCTCAAAAGTATGACGAAACCTTCCAAGATTGAATAAATTTAGAAATTGTTGTTATAAAATTCATAATAATCCAATATTTTCTTGGGTACAATCATAGAGTCCAACAATCAAATTAGTAAGGTTAATAATAAATAGAATAATTTTCTTAAATCTTGAAATCTTCATATTTCTTTGACTCGAACGAAATTACATAAAATTAAAAAAAAGGGATTTACATAGATTATTTATTATTAAAAAAAAAGTTGTGTCTTTATCTCGAATTTTTGTGAAATCATTGAAGTAAATCAGACCAGAATAAACGACAAATTTAGAAAATTTAAAAAGAAATTAAAAATTGATCAAAAAAAATAATTATTCTGACAAAATCAAATTTATATTTGTAAATTGTAAAATTATCAATTTTACAATGTAACAAAGCATAGGAAATCATATAAAATTTCATGTAGATTCTGAAATTTTAACCTAAGGTTTCACATGGATTTACATATAGGAAAAGATATAGAATTTCATTCGGGAATTTTCAGTTGGCTGCTCTATACAGGCAGCAGTTTACAAAAAATATTAATTATTTGATTAAATATCAAATAATATTACTGCAACTCATCTGAAAATAAAAAAAGTTTGCTTGTGAGTTAGAGTCTCAGCTTTTATAGTATTCCAAACTGATCTCAACTGTGAGAGAAAATATTTTCACCATCTGGTGGCGTAACTGTGGAACTGTAATGATGATCTACATCTATATTGAAATTTCCCATGTCATTCCCCATGTGAAATTCTTTATCATTTTTTTGATTTCGGAAATGACATGGGGTTTGACATAGGAAAATTTTTTAAAAAAATGATAAAGGATTTCACTTAGGAAATGACATGGGGTTTTACATGAGAAAATTTTTCAAAAAAATGATAAAGTATTTCACTTGTGGAATGACATAGAGTTTGTAATGGGAAAATTATTCAAAAAAATGATAAAGAATTTCACATAGGGAATGACATGGGGTTTGACATTGGAAAATTTTTCAAAAAAAAATGATAAAGGATTTCACATAAGAAATGACATGGGGTCTCAATTTCCCATGGGGATTTATATGGGAAACCATATGGTTTCCTATGTAGGAATGGGGTTGTACATAGTTTTTGACATAGGATCCCATGTGGTTTCCAGTGTGGGGATTTTCAATAGGGATCATGACGTTGTAAATTTTTACGACGACGAAAGTTTCAACTTTTGTGTACTTTTTTTGAATATATTCTAATATTAAATTAAGTATTTTAGCTAATTTGTAATCGCTGAAAATGAATCTGAAACTAATTTCTAAATATTTTTAGTCAAATTTTGTGTAGCTGATATGTTTTGGTAGCCTTTCGAGTTTAATGTTTAGCAACTTGTATTTGTAACGCGCTCTGAAGAAAGAGACCTAAGGCCGTGTCCACATTAAAATCTTTCACGAATTGTTCGAGCAAATTACACATAAAAAATTGTAAAATGTCAAATAATCAATGGAGTTGAAACACGGACATTCCATTTATAAAATTTATTTTTTTCTACATTTTTTCACTTATTTACTTCTTAACATCTCTCAAAAAGTAGTTTTAGTAAGCTAGAAATACGATTTAACAGTTAATTAACAAAATTTAGAAAAAAGAATATAAAATTTATTTTTTGTGGAAATATCACGAACTTTATTATAAAAAATTGTTAAGGACTACCTACCCTACAAGAATGATCGATATATAAATGAATTTTATGGATTTTATTGCCTAAAAATCGTTTCTCGAAAATTCTATGTTTGAAAATTCTATTCATATTTAATAGAAATGATCCGAAAATATCTATATTTAAATAGTAGTGAAAAAAATTTGTCTGTGTTTAAAAGTGGAGAATCGATCATCTATACCAGTAAGTTAATTTTGGATTGTGAGTTTAATCTAAGCGAACTTTACAGGTGATATTTGTAGGTCCTCAATCATTCTTGTCTACTTCAGGTACCAATACGCGTTTAATCATTGAAACGCATGTGTTCTTTCTGTTAGTTGTTTGCACATATATCGGAATGCCAAATTATTGCGCCACCATACGTCGGAGTCGCACCACGAGTCCAATAAGCTGCAATTGCCCAACGAGTACTTTTCACTTTCCCTTCCCCTCCATCGCGAAATTTTGCCTGAATGACCTCAGAGCTCGGCCCAGAATCCACCACAAAGCACAAATTAAAACACCGTGTACTCCAGGGTGACCATAGAGTTCCAACTTCGTTTCACACGTTCTCTTTATATTTCTACTCCTTTCTCAAAACCCTCACTAGAGTCCACACCCCTCTCTTGATTGCAAAAAGTTTATCTTTCTCTCTCTTCATAGTTTGACAACTAGACAAGGAGTGGAGATGAATTCCATTGAAATCTTTTCGAAATCGGATATAGTTTTTCTTTTACGATTTATACATCGTTTTACTGGAATATTTTCATTCAGAAATTTTTAAAAATTTAAATCTCATCCCCAAACTATTTATCTTTGCAGAAGCTGAATAAAAGGTTTAAAAATAATTTTGTATAAACATTATGGTGGTCTAAAAAAACAAAAGTTAAAAATTTTATACTCTGACCCCCTAAATTTGTTCCCAACTAAAAAGTAGGGTGAATGTACTAATTACTGCACAATTCTAATCTAAACGTCTTTGAAATAGAAAATTCAAAATTTATGATGAAAGAAGTCAATTTACGACTTACTAAACTAAAAGCTTATGTTATTTAGATGATAAAATAATTAAAAATTTTTAGAAATTAATTACTTAAACAAATTTAAAAAATTAGAACTAATATCGAAAGCATATTTACGGCGCGTTTGAGTCAGAGTCGGTGCACCAATTACAGCGAGTAATTGATTATTTTAATCAAAGTGGTCAATTTATTTTAATAAACATTCATCTATATTGATTATAAAGTTTATTAGAAATAAATATTTATTATATAGTAATAAAATATAAGGAGAAAATTTTAGAACGTTTTAATTTTATCCATTAAATATATCTTTACTATCTTTTAAATTATATTTCAGTCTTGTCTTTAGTTGAAAATAGTTTTTTTTGGGGGGTTTCTTCGATAGTAATAATTTTTTCTTGCATTATTCTAATTTCTTGTTAGTCTTATTCAATTTTTACTTATTCTCTTAATAGTTTCTTTTCCCTCTTCTCTTGTTGACGACTTTCCTTTTTACTCTTAAAATTTACACGTAAAAATACATATAATTATATAAATTTTAAACTCTTTAGGTCAAATTTTATTCGTGTTTATAAGGAATCAATAGTAAAAAATTCATGGTCTTTCAGCGACCTCTTAAAATTTTCCGATTTTTTTTAAAGAGAGGTATTTTTTTAAATTGGAACAAATTTAGGGGAGGAGTCAGAGTAAAAAATGTTTTATTTTTGGAATTTTAAAATAAATTATGTTTTTATCAACTTTTGTCAAATTCTAATGATATTTTTGAAATTAGATATTTTATAGGAGAAAAATTTTTAAGTAATTTTCTTATTTATATTTTATTTGTAATTTGATATACTTAACTAAAGAGTCAAGTTCTTACCCACATAGCACGATTTCTTGCTGTGAGGTTACTGTAAGAATATCTGTAGGGTTTGTAAGGTTACCGTGTAAGCCTACAGTAAACTTGAGGTCATCTTAAAACTTCCGCCCTAACAGTAAGCTTACACAATAAAGCTAAGGTAAGCTCACACAGTAAGGTCGTGGTAAGTTTACATGGTAAGGTTCTGATAAGCTTACACGGTAAGGTTGTTGTAAGCTTCCCGTAAGTTTACTGTAAGGTTACTGTAAACATAGAGAAATATGAAAATATATTAAAAATAATGTATGTATGTGCCATAGAAAACTACTGCGCTTAAATATTAATAAAATTTATTTATTAATAACATTCTATGTTTACTGTAACCTCACAGCAACCTTCAATAACCTTTCGAGAAGCTTACAACAACCTTACCGTGTAAGCTTACCACAACCTTACCATGTAAACTCACCACGACCTTACTGTGTAAGCTTACTGTAAGATCGGAAGTTTTAAGATGACCTCAAGTTTACTGTAGGCTTACAAGGTAACCTTACAAACCCTACAGATATCCTTACAGTAACCTCACAGCAAGAAGTCGTGCTATGTGGTTAGATACAATAACGAATTATTGAATAGTTTAAAGTATCAAAATGTGAAATTCAACATAAGTTTTTTCTTACCAGTTGGACTGTTGTTAAATGCTTTTTCCACCAGAGATATTTCTGGTACTCAGGTCCCATCGCTGATAACATGTAGTACAAGTACATCACCACATGGACAGCATTGTTTATCAAGTTTCCGAGAGTACCGTGTCCTCCTGGAATAAACTTAACGCATATCCAAGTTTCGAGGGGAGTCAGGGAATGATGATAAAGATGTAAAAACGTCACTTGGCTGTCTTTTTTTCGCAGGATGAAAAATATCTAAAAAAAAGACGACATTGCAAAAGTATATTCTTTAAATTGAAAAAATTGATATATTTTGATGATAACACAGGTCTACAAAATTAGACTTTTTGTTAGATGTGAAAGTGGTTTCCAATGTACTTTTGTGTGCTGAACACGATTCCGGGTTCCAAAAGTGTATCTCGTCAGGATTTTGAGTAAAAAGTACGGGTAAAGTCTCCACAAACAATTTTTTTGAGGGTTTTCAGTAATTTATTTCCCCTTAACCCGATCCGTTGGACACTTCTATATAGGCTTAAATTAAAGCTTAAATAGTACAATTGAGTACCCGGATCAAATAACTCGACCAACGCTCGGACGAACGCTCTATTACCAATCAAGTAGCAGTGACAGCCTGTGGGCGGCTCACTGCTACCCGACTACCATTAGAGCGTGCGTCCGAGCGTCGGTCGAGTTATTTGATCCGGGTATTCAATTTTAGACGCATATACCGTAAAACGGGGTTATTTCGCTCATTGCGGGTAAATTCGCTCACCAACTTTTATGCTTTATTTCAGCTTTAAAATAAATTTTAATACCTTTATTACCAGGTAAAAATGTTAAATTTGTTAACAGAAATACTAAATTTTAGTTCAAATCAAATTTAAAGCCAAAAAATGGGTGAGCGACTTTACCCGCACTGAGCGAAATAACCCCGTTTAACGGTACGCAAGATAAAATTATTTTTTTAATTTTTAAAAAAATGGGGGTAAAGTCCCCAAAAACCGTGTTTTTAAAGTAAGGGTTTTCAGTATTTTTTTCCTTCTTAACCTGACGTGAGAGAGACTTCTATATAGGCTTAAATTAAAGCTTAAAACATACACTTTAAGACCCATATGCGAAAGATAAAAAATTTTATTTTGAAATAAATTGGGGTAATGACCCCAATAAACTCTTTGGGTGACTTGAACCTAATTTTTAAAAAATTAAAAATTTTTTTATCTTGAGTATATGAGTCTTAAAGTGTACGATCTAAGCTTTTATTTAAGCATACGTAGAAGTCTCTATCACGTCAGGTTAAGGAAAAAAAATACTGAAAACGCGGTTTTTGGAGAGTTTACCCACACTTTACTCAAAATCCTGACGTGATACGCAAATTTTGGAACCCGGGATCGTGTTCAGCACACAAAAATACATTGGAATCCACTTTGATATCTCAAAAAAGCCTTGTAGTCCTGTGTAATGTTTATTTTCGACCTTTAATGGTTTTTATATGTGCACTGATAAAAGTATATCATAAAATAGTTTACAACTTTGCACTAAGTGCGTATAAAGTTGTAAGTATTCGATGTTAATAATTCGGTGCGAAAATGTACTGGCAACCTTAATGTGCAACGGGTTCAGTGGAAATTTGAAGAAATCAAGTCTTTCACAACAGAACGGTAAAAAAGCGCATGTTCATCTAAATCGACACCTATCGAAGTACGCATTTTTATTCTATTACATCAAGAAATTACCGTTATTGTGATAAAAATCATTTTTTTATTTTTAAAAGCTCTGAATAAAGCGTCAGTAAAATATTCGCAAATAAGTCAAAAAATTCATATTGTGTATTCAATTTTTAATATTTATTGTAAAAAATGAATCTAAAGTTTTTGTGATGCTGAAAACTGTTAGTAGTTCAGGCAATATAGAAAAGATTAAGAAAACAAACAAATTTACAATAAAAATGTTAAAAAAGTATTGAAATTTATTAACAATGACTAAATTTATTAATACAAAATGATAAAAGTATTTAAAGATATGAAATAATATGTGACCTGGACAGTTAAAAGGACCTTACTTCTGAAAAAATCGATTTTTTATTGATTGGGGATTCTGATAGAAAAAATTTTTTTCTATCAGAATCACCAATCAATAAAAAACCAATTTTTTCAGAAGGAAGGTCTATAATAAATTAGGAGAAAGTAGAAACATTAAATTTAATAAAAACTTATGAAACATAAAGTATACATGCAATGAACTTTTAGATTTTTTTTCTTCTAGATAAATAGAAAAATCCGGCAAGTGCGAGTTACACTCGCATAGAAACCGAGGGTTCAGTACCTCGACTAAAGGTAAAAGTCAACTTTTTTACAAAATTTTTATTTTTCGAAAAATTTGATCCAAATACATCATTTACTTGTTTATTATCCAATAAATATGTATTTGAACCAAATACACATTTACTAAACCTAAGTATTTTATTTTATCGTATCAAATAAATAGTTATTTGAATCAAATACAAAGTATTCAATTCAAATAAATGGAATATTCAAAGCTAATAAATAATTATTTGAATCAATTATGAAAATTATTTCATTCAATACTGCATGTTTTTTGATTCAAATAAATATTTATTTGCATTAATAAAATATTTTTCTTGAAACAACTGAAAAAATTTCTTGAATCAAATATTCGTTTATTTATCATAAGTAATTTTTTTAATTGAAACTAAAACCTCTTTAATTGCGGCTATTATTATTATTTTATTTGATCCAAATACATAAATTTATTTGCATAAAATGTAAGAATTTATTGATTCCAATAAATCAAAAATTGAATTGAATAAATAACATATTTATTTACTAAGTATTCAAATTCTAACTTAAATTCTTACTCAAATAAATAAATTAAAAAATATGTAATTTCTGCATACTATGATCGCATATTTTCATTTTTCAACTAATTCATACATAAAATTAATGATTATTCGCAAACCTGAGAAATAAATAAATCTAACGCATGCACAGTAGCCGATTTCCCGAAAAACCTGGCCAAAAGTCAAAAATTTTTTTTTAGAAATTTATACTTTTTATTGTTGAATATTATAAAGGAGGGTTCACTGCATAATTTTGCGAAAAAAAATTACACTTTTTTTATCACCAATTTATTATGTGAACAAGTAAAAGTGATCTTTGCCAGAGATTTACTCAGAACGTTTCATAACTATAAATTTTCGTCACAGTTAAAATAGTGAAAATATACTAATATACAGCAGATTTTTGAATATCTTTTTTTGGGAATTATTAACAAAGGTGTATGAAATATGTTGAATGTATTTATAATCACATTTAAAACGTACAGTTTTTAAAAAATGACATTAAACATCGCTATTCATGGCGACGATTTTTGTATTGTTTTATCAACGTAAATCATGAAAATAGTTGTGAAATCCACCGATATCCGCGCTCTACCTGGTATTATCATAAACTAGAATATATTTTTAATTCATTTTAATTGAAATCAGTTGCCCCAAGCTGCCCCTGCAGTTTTGGTATCACTTTTTATTTCACTAAGCGCGGTTTACCGACAGCGCGTTGCACCGGCCGGCGGTGCAACTGAACGTGAAAGACTGACTTTTTCTTCATTCGCATTCGCTTTAAACTAAAATTTAAGCACTGTCTGTAATTTAAAAAAAATAAGCTCTAACACATTTACGCAATTTTATAATACCAGCAAATATTTTGGATCCGCCATATTGAATTTGATAAAACAAATGTAAAATTTGATTTCAGAAACCTAGTAAACGTAAGTATACTAAGTTTGGTTAAAATCATACAATTTTTTAATTTTTAGCAAAGTTTTTTAAAATCTAAACGGCCAGTTTAGATCCGCCATTTTGAATTTGACACAACCAATGTAAAATTTGAATTCAGAAGCCCAAAAAACATGGGTATACCAATTTTGGTTGAAATCGTATCATTTTTCGATTTTCAGCAAAGTTTTTAAAAATCTAAACGGCCATTTTGAATCCGCCATTTTGAATTTGACACAACCAATATAAAATTTGAATTCAGAAGCCCAAAAAACATGGATATACCAATTTTGATTGAAATCGTATCATTTTTCGATTTTCAGCAAAGTTTTTTAAAATCTAAACGGCCATTTTGGATCCGCCATTTTGAATTTGACACAACCAATGTAAAATTTGAATTCAGAAGCCCAAAAAACATGGGTATACCAATTTTGGTTGAAATCGTATCATTTTTCGATTTTCAGCAAAGTTTTTTAAAATCTAAACGGCCATTTTGGATCCGCCATTTTGAATTTGACACAACCAATGTAAAATTTGAATTCAGAAGCCCAAAAAACATGGGTATACCAATTTTGGTTGAAATCGTATCATTTTTCGATTTTCAGCAAAGTTTTTTAAAATCTAAACGGCCATTTTGGATCCGCCATTTTGAATTTGACACAACCAATGTAAAATTTGAATTCAGAAGCCCAAAAAACATGGATATACCAATTTTGATTGAAATCGTATCATTTTTCGATTTTCAGCAAAGTTTTTTAAAATCTAAACGGCCATTTTAGATCCACCATTTTGAATTTGACACAACCAATGTAAAATTTGAATTCAGAAGCCCAAAAAACATGGGTATACCAATTTTGGTTGAAATCGTATCATTTTTCGATTTTTGGCCAGGTTTTTCGAGAAATCGGCCACTGTGGCATGGGGGGAATCGAACCTACGACCTACGGATTATGAGTCTAACGCTTTACCAACTACGCTACGTGAAAACGAATGTTAACTTCTTGATGCCATTTAAACTTGCAAAATACCTAACTCAGAAAAGTGCTTAACAACATTTAGTTAAAGTTAAGATATTAAATTATATTTTCCAATTAAATGCAATTTATAAAATATAATTAATTATATGCTTCATAATTATTATCATGAATCATCCTAGGTGAATTTTCAAAAAAAGTGTAAATATATTTTTATTAAAAACGCGTTTTTCGTTGTTCTGAATCATTGTAAATATTAATTTTTTGTAGATGAAAAAATATTTGACTTTTGGATTTAGAATATTAAATAATATATATAAAAAAATGAATAGTATCAAATAACTCATTATTCTCATTACACTTAAATATTTAATTGATCAAAATAGGGGAGACGGGGGCTGAAAGTGCCGATTTTGAGAAAACTAAATAAAATGCTGGTAAAATAAGAACTTTTTGTTTTAATCTATAGTCTATCTATTTTAAAATTTAATGTAGTTTTTAAATCCATTATTATTTTTTGATAATTCAGAACAGTTTTTTTTGTAAAAAATGATTTTGTGCAGCGAGGCAACACGGCAAGTTGAACTCCGCTCTGGGAAGAGTTGTGCCGACGCTGGGGTCGGTTATGCCGCTCAGATTTTTTAGTTGTTTCAGTTGAAGCAAATGATTTTACGCGTAAGAAATAAAATAATTATTCCCAATATATGATTTACTATTATTTATTAATCATTTGTTATAATCTTTTAAAGGTTTTTAGGAACAATCTTAAGATTTATAGATTTTAGTAAGTACAAATAAACATTTTCTGACTTATATTCTATAATTGCATAGTTAGTCAGTCACTTACAATATAGTTTTCGTAATAAGTATTTTTATTATAAACATTCAAAGGATTTTTCCAACAATCGTAACATTTATATATTTTTGTAAATAAATAAACATTTCTGACTTAAATTTTACAATTACATAATTAGTCAGTCTTTTAAAATATTTTTTGAAATAATTATTTGTATCGTTAATTAATTGTAAAAACTCTACTTTCTGATTAATAAATAATTTTTAAGACATGAATACTTATTCCGAATGCGATTTATTGAAATAACAATTGACACATATATAACTGACCCCTTTTTTTTTGTAATTTTAAGATTAAAATCTTCTTTTAAAAACTGTTTGTATCCTTTGATTTTTTTCAAAAAAACGACTTAATTTTACAAAAATTTTAAGCCTAGTACGATCGTAGGGAAACAATTTTTTCAATATTTTCAAAAAAATTTAAAATTTTTGAAATTATGCATTTTTTAAAAATATCTCCGGTTTTGTTTTATACTACGTACTTTTATGTATTTTGATATCGCTGATTACGAAAATAGTACAATCCCCCACAGCACCGAAACTTTCCTGAAAATTTAGAAAATATTTACTAAATTTTCAGGAAAGTTTCAGTACTGTGGGGGATCTCTGAAATTTTCAAGATTCTCGCTTAGCGTTCATTCTTGAATCAGCAGCGGCGGCGATATCTTTTTATAATATAGTAATGGTATATATTACGGGCATTGTCGATATTGCCCACTCATTTTTGGGCAATGTTGTTTATGATGAACAGTAGCATAAAACTAGAAAATATCGTCCGAAATATTTATTTTTACATGTCATGCTGCGAAAACATTTGCATTTATTTTGTCACATAATATAAAATTGTTTCACTGTCACTACTTAATGGTTTTATTAATTTCTTCTGTTCATTCACAGAAATTACGTCATATTTTTATAAAAACCTGTAACTACTTGAATTCTTTATTTTTCTGATATCTTTAATTGTTCTACTTTTTCAATGTAACTTTCATATTCCTCACAAAACATATAAGCATTATTGTCTGCCCGTTTTTCGACATCAATTCGTTTGGGGCCGTCCATATACCACGTGGACAGTTTTGGGGGGAGGGGGGGTTCGTCAAAAGTCCACGAGGGGGGGAGGGGGGGTCAAAGCAAATATCCACGTGGACCCAGTAAAAATGAAATTTTATTTATTGTTTTTTATCCCTCTTTTAAATTTCGCGCCAGTGTATTATGCAGCGCTGCACAAGTCATTCGATATTTTTATCGATTTCGTTCGAGTTTTATCGAATCAATATACGCCGGCTGGTGTGCTACATGTGAAAAATAATAACAAACCCGCCTAAACCCAAATTCTCATAAATTACAATTTCATTTTTAATGAATTTAAGACCTACTGTGAATGATTTACCTCAAAATCTCCCTTATGATTTGTACTGCCCTTCAGTACTACCTGTACTGCAAGGTAAGTGACCCCTTAAAAAGATTCCACAGATAGGACTCCGATAAAAATTTTGATACTCAGCGTAACAAATTTTGATTTGAAATACATCTTGAATTTTGAAACTACTATTGACTCAAAATACTTCAATCAACTAACAGACTGTTTTTAAAATTTTAAAACGCATATGCAGTGAATGTGGCCTTTATTTTGCCGCAAAGTCGCACTTAACTACTCACGTTAAAATATTATATAAAAATCAACGTAAAAGAAATACAGAGGATTGGGATGAAGAAACGGAACTTGTTGAAGTGTCTTGTGTAGAGATGGAAAATAATGTAACTTCAGAGAGCTCCATTGATTTTTTCGCAACTGATAATCTTTTCGAATGGTTAACACAACCATGGATCAGCAATGATAATATAGATGACGATTAGTAGATTTGTGGTTTTTTCGATATTATTTTAAGATTTGTTACCATAAAGATTTACCTACTTTTATTTTATACGATAATTTTCAGATATTCCTGGCATAAATATTTTAATTCTACCATACATTGTATTTTTAGCTGTAGTGATCGATAATTTAAGATTTGTTGCCAAAAAGATTTATGTATTTTTAGTTTGTAGAGTAATTTGAAATATTTTTGCCAAAAATATCTTCACGATACCAAAAAATAATGGTATTTAGTTGGTAAACGTTATTCTACGATGTGTTACCAATGTGATTGTTATGTGATTCAACCAAAAATGTAATTTTGCTTAGCAAAATTTTAAGTTTACTAGCAGTAAACTTGAAAATTATTTTTATAATTAAAAGAAACAGTGACTAAATGTTTTCTAATAACTATTAAATATCTATTTATTTACCATTTTAAAATAAGAAACATACAAACAAAAAATTTTCACCAAAAAAAGTCCACGTGGACATTTAGGGGAGGTGGGGGGGTTCGTCAAAAGTCCACAATTGTCCACGAGGGGGGGAGGGGGGTCAAAAAGTGATGAAAAATTGTCCACGTGGTATCTGGACGGCCCCTTTCTATTTTCGGCGCACAGTGTCCCGGGTTCTATCCCCGGTCCCTTTAATTTGTTTTCAAAGTTGTTCCTACAATGTTAGGTTCCAGAAAAATAAGTTGGTTGAATATGAAATTAGAAATTAAAAAAGTTTAATTGTTGTTTTATTTTCATATATTAAAAAAATTTTAATGCATTTCCTCAATAAAACAGCTTTTTATATTTTGCATATTGCTTTAAATGTAGGTATTTCAAAATATTATTCATTAGATTATAATTTAAAATTTATTTTTAACTTCGATTTAAAGGCATAAAAAATTATTTTAACACTGCAGAAATATTACTGCAATATTATGCTATGTTCCTTAAATATTGACAAGAAATATTGCAGCAAACAGGATATTTGAAGATTGCTGTAATATTACACTCCAATATTGGTAACATTGCACGGCAATATTGCAGCAACATTGTACGACTATTAAGTGCTATTTGGGTACTTACGAGAGGAAATAATATACTTATTGGATATTTACCAAAATAATGACCAACATGGTGAAATAATTAAAAGATTAATAATTCAGGGTATAAACAGGGTGTCCAGCGGTCAGGAATGTCAGGGAATTTAATTAAAAATCATGGAACTTTTTAAAAATTTGCAAAAAATGAAATGCCCGTATCATATATAATTTAATTATTTTTCATCTATACGTATCAAAGAGATTTTTTTACATTTGTACACTAAGAAAACTGAAATAGAAATTTGAATTAACCAACAAAAGTATAAAAATGATTATTTCAAAAACATAAATATGCTACATAATTAATAACGTACCGTATCAGCGAATTCTGTAAATTTGCTTATGAAATACCACCAACAAAGATTGGCCATCCTGAGGGCTGAAGGATTATGAGAGTAATCAACTGGTTGACATTTGTAGCTGTATTCTAGCAACCATCCTGACATTAAGTGCTGCAATCATAAAAATTAGAATCAAGACTGTGTAAATTTCCGAGCTTATTTTTGTTTTTTCAATTTATTTATATTTTATTAATTTTATACAATTTCTATTCTGTTTTTTTAACATAATATTTAAAAAATTTTATATTTCTTTATTTACTTTCTTAACTTAATTCAGTCGAATTTTATACTGCGACTACCATTGAAATTTTATTGATTTATTTAGTAGTAATAGTATCTTAATACTATTGTATACTAATTGTATTAATCTTTTGCATTCTGCATAAATTAAGGCTTTTTGAAAAAGTCATTTGAAACATTAGAGTTAATATTTGCCTCTTTAAGGAGGAAAAAGCGTGTAAAAAAATTTATACAATTTTTTTTTGTTTTTGCTTTAAAAATTAGTTTATTATCTGTAAGTCGACCAGCGAATTGTAAATGAATTGTTTATTTATTTAAAGTTAACAAATTATGTACATTACTATTTATTATTGAGATACACTTTTGCTTTAAAATTTTAGTTTTTTTTAAATATACATACGTATTTTTTTCAGCATTAAAATTGATAAAAAAATGTATAGAAATACATTAATGAAGTGAAGAAGCTTTTTAGAAAAGTATAAGTGAATTTCGTAACGTTTGTCGATAGGAAATTCTCTCGCCTAAGAATAACTTGTAACATCTTTGAAATGGGGCCCATTCGTATTCAGTTCTTCTCCAATACCTGTGTCCACCTTTGTATGTAATATTGATGTGTTTAACTTTTAATGTTCATGAGCACATAGCTGCGATTTATGCATAGTTGACTTGAGAGTTGAGCGCAGTTACATACTTTTAAAACTTTTTCACCTCATGCTGGAACAGTACTATTCAATGACGCCATCCCATTTTCAATTCGATTGTCTATTTTTTCTCCTCGTCTTATACAGAAAAACAAATGCTTAAGACAATAAAATAATCGAACAAGGGAAGGCATTATTCAACAGTTCTGTAAACTCATTAAATATTTTAATAGATCAAAACTTGTCTAAAAGAGAGGACCTGATTTTGCACTCAGGAATTATTTTTTGTAAATATACTGTAAAATGGGGTAAAGTCGGCGATTTTTTTTAAGTTTTTCTCAAAAAACTATGAGAATAACATAAAATACAATTTTAATACTTTTAATGTTTTAATATATAAAGTTTCACTCCTTTTCTGTAATATTATTATATAAAAAAATTTATTTATTTTCCAGAAAAATATTTATACACCCTTTTATTTATTTACACCCCCCCCCCTTTAACATTTAAAAAATAGTCATTGACAAACCAAGAATGGTTTGTTAAGTAATTTTTAAAAAATTTTTAATTAAGTAAAGTCAATTTTTGGAAGTATACAAACCAAAGTAATCATAATTAAAGGAATTTTTTTCTTAGAAAAGATAAAAAGAAATTTTTAAATTTAATTTGTAATAATCGTCGACTTTTCCCCATTTTACGGTAACGTTTCGAATGAGAATGAGGCAAATAATTTTAAATTAATCTTGATAAAAGTAATTTAGATTTTGAGATTTGATTTTAAAATTAACAAAAAATTGGAGGTTTGCCGAGTACAAGAAATTAAAAATATCGTAATTAAAAATTGCTGTCTCCTGATCATTTTCATCGGTAGTAATGTACGCAAGCTGCGTTCAAGTGTTTCGCAGAGCGACAGTGTGGACCTTGGCTTATGGAAAGTAGTCGATGGAAATTTCTCGAGGGGAAAAAAATCATTACACAAACTCTCGAAAACAGGATGCTTCGCCTTTAACGAACCGCACTCCTGAACAAATCTCCGTTGGGCAATGTGTTTAGACGTCGATGAGTCGATAGGTCGTTCGCGAATTCAAAGATTTGTACATCCTCTACTTAAAATAATGACCTCAGATAAAACTGTTACTTTATTCTGAAATTACTTTTGCCTACTCTCACTGTCTCCAAATACACTTTTCAATGTTTTTCTACTTTTCATTTATTCTGTAAATTTGAAAATTATTAAATTTTAAAAAATTGATAAAAAAATTGTTCATAAAAATTCATCAAATTTTTCAACACCAAGCATTATCTTAAAAGAAAATCTTTTATATTTAGAAGCGTTGAACTCATTAAGAAGTCAAAATTTAAAATGAATTCAGTGTGGTGGAAGATATTTTGAAAAATTGTTAAATTTTTACAGGGTCAATCAAGAATGTCGAAATTTATTTTTGTTTCAATATTAGAAAACAAAACAAAATTATGAATGTATTTTAATTTTGATACGGTAACACGATGCAACAGCATTTTTATTTCTGGGACCGCATTGGGTGACCCATATAAGTTTTTTGACACTGGACACGAATTCATAATCAGAATTGCTCCATCACCTTAGGTTTTCGAGAAATTTGATCTTGAAAATTGAAAAATTCCGTTTTTAGGTTACTTTTTGATTTTTTATAACGTTACAAAAAATTTTCAGAGGTTTTCGTGATATATATATGAAATCTCATTTCTTCCTCAACAATTTCCAATTTAGATCTTTTAAAAATATTAATTTTTTATGAGTTATCCCCCACACAACAAAAAGATATCCCACGAAATGATGGGATATCCAAGAGATATCAAAGTTATCCCTAGGATATCTAAATTTCCATCCCGTGGGTAACCTGTGCTGTATATCCCAGGGATATCTTATACGGGATTTCCCGCAGTATCTGAAACGGGATATCTCATATAGACTATCCAAAATAAATTGAGCTTTTTACATTTTTTAAAATTGAAATATAACATAATTATGAAATGTATAAATATAATCATAATACTTTTTTATTAACTTCTTAACTGCGATGACAAAAATTTGATGGCCAAAATCTTCGTCATCAGCAGTTAAGGGGTTTAATTCTCTTTCCATCAAATATATAAATATAGCTTTATATTGCAACAAATGATTTACATTAAGTATTTTTGGAAAGACGTTCCTGAAACGTTTACACTGTATTCATTTTGTCAGCCGTGTGAAACGATCACAGGCAGTTTCCCGCACATGCGCAAAAATATATATCCTACACAGGAAATCTCTAATACCAGGTCATGGCTGTATATACAAGGCGCAAAGCTAGTATAAATGCCAACGTCAAACTATACTACTACTACTACAGGAAATCTCAGGGATTTCCCGTGGGATGTCGCACAGAACGGAAATTTATCCTGAGGATATCCCATGTAGAATATCCATGCGCTATCCTTAAGATATCTCAAGGATATCCATTTTTTGAAAATCAAATTTTCATTGGCTTTTTTTTAAAGATCGGTCTTTATATATATATTTTTTTTTTGAAGTTAAAAATGTGTATTTTCACTACAAAAAATATTGAGATGTCCTTTTTTGTTATTTTCGCGATATTATGTAATTAATTAATTAATGTTAATAAAAAATGAAATATTTTACATATAAATATAGTTATTGCAATTCCGAAGCTACCAATTGAAAGCTGACGTAATTCCGCATCCAACGAGCCCTATGTGAACTATTTTAGATTGAAGGATTTTTTATAAACAATTTCAATATTAGCCAATTGTTTATTAAGAATCCACTAACTTTCATATATAGTAACGTCAGAATTACGATAACTTTATTTGTTTATAAAATATATTATTTTTTATTAACACTAATTATTTAATTAATAAATATCTCTAAGACAAAGAAAAAGGACATTTCCATATTTTTTTGTTGAAAGTATACGCTTTAAACTTCCAAAAAAATTTGAAAAAAGTCAACAAAATTTTGATTTTCAAAAAAATGGTCAAATTTTGAAAAAAATTTTGCAATACTCGAAAGAGCAGGAACAAACCTTTCGAAAACATATACGTCAAATTTTTTTTCATCTTTCTGTTTAAAAGTTATGTGCAAGTTACAGTCACATCCGACCAACTTTTTTTTCACTTAGTATGCTATAGGAATTTTACCTTTTTTATTTATATATATATGTATATATATATAATTATTTTATTAATGTTTTGTTTATTTTTTTTTAAAATATATGAGCAATTCCATGTGAAATTCAGGGGTCTATCCTCCGATTTCTTCTATACTACGTTTTTGGGTAGAGGTCTAATTGAGTAAAAAAAATTTTGAAAAAAAATATTTATTATTTTCGAGATATTTTCATTAAAAAATTAGTGCAACTTTTTTTTCAATTACTAATAACTTTTTCACTATTAGTCCTAGAAAAAAATTTCTACAACGTTTTTTGCTCAAAAAATATTGAAGTTTAAGAAAAAAAATTAATTTTGGAAAATTAACAATTTTTAATTTATTTATTTAAAAATAAAATTTATTTTTAATTTTTAAACTTGTTATCGGGCTCCGTTTAAGCTGAAAAAATTCATGAACATACCTTAATATGAGCCAAAGACATGTGCCAAATTTGGCGAATACCTTATTTTTTGTTTTTGAGATATTAATTAATTATTTAATAAAAATTAATAAAAAATGAAATATTTTACAAACAAAAAAACTTGGAATAATTTTAAAAACACCATTCTAATGCTTATCAAAATCCCCATCCAAGGAGCCCTATATGAACCCTATATCATATTAAGGTATGTTCATGAATTTTTTCAGCTTAAACGGAGCCCGATAACAAGTTTAAAAATTAAAAATAAATTTTATTTTTAAATAAATAAATTAAAAATTGTTAATTTTCCAAAATTAATTTTTTTTCTTAAACTTCAATATTTTTTGAGCAAAAAACGTTGTAGAAATTTTTTTCTAGGACTAATAGTGAAAAAGTTATTAGTAATTGAAAAAAAAGTTGCACTAATTTTTTAATGAAAATATCTCGAAAATAATAAATATTTTTTTTCGAAATTTTTTTTACTTAATTAGATCTCTACCCAAAAACGTAGTATAGAAGAAATCGGAGGATAGACCCCTGAATTTCACATGGAATTGCTCATATGTACCTATATTTTCTTTTTATTTATTTTAATTAATATCACGTAAAAATGACTAAAAATGTGTAGTTAAAACAAAGCAGTTAAAAGTACCATATTCAGATCCATTTTAACTAAATTTAAATAGTTGGTGGTACTAAATTTTAGTAGTCAATTTCACTTAGTTAAAATTACTAATACTAGTTACTATACTAATATTAATAATAATAATTTTACTACTTTGAATAGTTTTTTTTACTAAATTTTACACTTGATTTAACCGTTTTTACATAGTTGTCTCAACTACTTTTTGTTAATAGGCACCTCCTGGAACCATGAAAATTAGTAACTGCAACCTAATGAAACAGTTAATGTGACTGACAAAAAATCATTGAAATAACTTCTTTATTTGGTTAAATTTACTGTAAAAGTAATAATTTTTACTATACTTTACAGTTAATCTGACAATTTTTACATAGTTGTTTCAACTACTGTTTGTTCATAGGTGCCTCCTGGAACTAGGAGAAATAGTTAAAATTTAGTCAAATTTACCATGATTTTTTTTGAGTGTAAATATATATTAAATATAACACAGTGCAACAGCATTTTTATTTATGGGATTGCATATGGTGATTCTTACATGTTTTTTGACGCTATACACGAATCCGAACTCGGAATTGCTCCATCACCCTAGGTTTTTGAGAAATTTGACCTTGGAAATTGAAAAAATTCAAACAAGGATGTCTCATACAAAAATAAATATTTTTAAATATGTGACCTGGACAGTTAAAAGGGACCTTTCGTCCGTAAAAATTAATTTTTTATTGATTGGTAATTCTAATAGAAAAAAGATTTCTCTATCAGAATCACCAATCAATAAAAAACCGATATTTTCGGACGTAAGGTCCCTTTTAACTGTCCAGGTCACATGTTCTAAATTGCAAATTGTTCAATATGAAGATATGAGCTTTCAAATGCATATCACGAAAACTTAAAAAAAAATGTTTGTGCCGTTATAAAAAATCAAAAAGTACCCCGAAAAGGGATTTTTTCAATTTCCAAGTTCGGATATGTGTTTAGCGTCCAAAATTTTTTACAATTTCTCTTTAGAGATTTTTTGCAACAAATACAGGACAAATAGAAACAGTACAAGATCTTGCACAAGTTTTTGTACAGGAAAATATACTTGTATAAAAACATGAGCGTGTTCATGTAGAAGTTCTTGTATATATGAACCTGCATAAGAATATGTACAAGAACCTGTGCATTTTCTTGACCAGAACTGGTACAAATTCAGGGTTGCCACAAGTCAGGGAAATGTCAGGGAAATTAATTTTTGTCAGGGAATTTAAAAAACAGTGCTGGAAAAATGTTGTGAACCTAGATTTACTTTAAAATATTCATTTGTTATGAATTTATATATCAAAATAACAATTTTACAGAATTATTTGTAGAATTTTTATTTGACCCAAGTTTTATTTTATCGAAATTTCATAACACAATTTTTGATAGAATTTATATTTGATGGAAAAAAACGAAAATGTCAGGGAAAAATACAAAATTTTTGTCTGGAAGTCAGGGAAAATTATTTTGAAATTTTTGTGGCAAATTTTCTTGTACAGAAATTTTTAGTAGGGATTTTTTCGTATGAGTTTCGTACTCTAAAGTAGGCTAAAAGTTACTGTTTTGCATTTTTTAATTACAAAAAATTTGAAGGTAATGGAGCATTTTACGAAACATATTTTCATTCAACACACCCAAAATTACAAAAATCAGTCATAAAAACCTGGGCTCAAAATGATCCAGCCAGCAGGATCATTTTGATCTGCAGCAAAAATGAGCCCAGGTTTTTACTGTGTTCGGTTCCCGTTGTAGGCAGATAATTTTATGTCAGCTTTTCTGCAATAATTCTATAGTTTTGCAGTTGTCGTACAAAAACCTAAACTAATAGAGATCTAGAGTAAATTTTTAATATCAGGATTGGATTTTATGGCAAAGCTTATATTTGAATCGTCTGTGATTAATCAGACAACAATAATTTGTCGAAATTTTATTGACTTGGTTATATAAACAAAAAGATTGTTTATTGGGATTGAAGTTCAATAAGTATGTTCTTGATTTCAAATATTTATTGAATATATCACTATTGAATGCAGCACTAATTTTCTCCAATTAAATTCTTCATTTCACCATTTATATTTGTTTAATGGTTGTTTAGAAAAACTTTTCCAGTACACATAAAGACCTATACATATTCTAGTAATGTTTGAGGTAATGAAAGAAATTTAAGTTAATGGTTTGTAAAAGCAAGTATTCTTTACTATGTATCGGGATAATAATAGTATTTTCTTCACTTCGGAAAGTTATCGACATATTTAAATATACAGCATCACGAAGTATAGTATCTTTTTTTACGAAAAAACGGTGCTCCACTTTCCTGTTACCCGAAGAAGTCGTCTAACCGGGTTACTGATTGGTAAGATATTTTGCACATGTCATAATAAAGGGTCCTTCTCTGCATTGATTTCTTCCCAATTTTCTTAGTTAATGCAACATTTTTTCACTTTAATTTTAATTCAATTGCGAAAATTTATGGTCGTTTCTTTAAACCGAATTACAATATGCATTCTGCTTATAAATGAAGATTATTTTTTTAAAAATATAATTAGTAATAAGATTAGGATAATTAATTATGATATAAGAAACGTGAAATAAAACTATATTTTATAATAATAAATTTTGATATTGTTAAAATATGAAGTATTAAAATTATATTATTAAACATGTAGTATAATATGTATTATATGTACCTCATACATCATCCCCAAAGAAAAAACTACTTGAAAAGCATTGTAAGCAACGAGGACGTTCCTGAGGCGAAAGGGTTTTCTGTTGACCATAATGCGTGGACCAAGAATTGTCACACAGTACAGGTACAAAAGCACAATTGCAAAAGTTGGGAAGGGGGAATCCATTAGAGGCCAGTCGCTCACTCTTGGATCGGAAGCAGTCGTTAAGATTTCAGTATATTGCTCTAAAGCCATTCGAACGAGGCCTTCTGCCCCTACGAATGACCTGTTTGTGTCCTTGATTATTTCATGTCGTGACACTGCTTCCCTTTCAGCCACCAATTCAGCAGCTGCCGATGCCATTTTTACTGAAACAGAAAAATTGTTCACTTAAAACGTGAAGGTCATCGACATAATGAAGTAAACAAAATAAGGGGTTCCTCACTTTTGAATAAAATCTTTAATAAGTCATTACAAAGTTAAGAAGGTGATCGCAATATTTTTATAAAGGTATTTAACAAAAAGATGTTTTCAATTTCATTCATTAAACAAGAAAGTCATTTGTTTCATAACTTTATGAAAGTTTTTGATTTTGTGATTTGACAACGAGCGTACAGAATTCACTATTTTCTTTTTTATCGATAGATAAAAAATTTTTCACTGTATAAAAACAAAGTCTTAAATAGTATAGTAAATATAATAATAATAAATATAAATTGTATAGTAGTCTGTTTTAAAACCAACCTTTTTTGCTTTGAAAGGCAACTTTAGGTTTGCCTTTATTTATTTTCACGTAAGTTCATTATTCATTTTGTATGTTAAAACTCCCATGTGGGCAAAAAACCATGTTCGTTCTAAAAACGTTTAAAGGACGTTCTTAGAACGTTTCATGTCCACCAAATATTGTTCTGGAACATTTTAAGAACATGGATGTTCAAATAATGTTCCAGAACATTATTTGGTGGACATGAAACGTTCTAAAAACGTTCTTTAAACGTTTTTAGAACGTACATGGTTTTTTGCCCACAGGGTCATGGTGTTTATGAACAAAAATAAAATAAATTCGAAAGTCCTCAAGGTTTTATAAGTCTGAATCAGCGAAATTTCACTGATTTATCAGCTTTGTTCGGGTCAGTGGTATACTTATTACTGATTCAGATTTAAAGAGATGATTCGAGAGAGTCAATATCGCTTAGAATGATTATACTTTAGACGAGATAAATAAAGATTTATATAAAAAAAACTTTAATTCTTTTATATTGTCATTAACAATCTTTAAATCAGTAGTAAGGGCACTTATGAAAGTTGATATCCGTGGAATTAAGCAGATAGTCAGATAATCACCTTGTGGTCAAATTGTTTTTTTTCAGCTAACTTTAATGTTAAGGATTTTCAATTAAAGTAAGGTATAGAAAACGTAAAAGTTCTAATGAACAATTTTCTAGAAAATGGAAACTACAACTTGAGACTTTTACTTTGTACAGAAAAAACAATAGCTTTAATTTTTATTTTAGAAATTAATTTTCTTACTTTATTATAATAATAAAATGTCATGTCATCTATAGATTTCTTGAAATTGTAAATATTACATTTATTACATTTACTCTATAAATCTGAATTAGTAAAAAAAATTCTAATTGATATAGTATTATTATCAGCTGCCACTTAAATTTCTAATCATTTTTTTTAGCATTCAGTAACTTTCATATTTCAACGCCTCCCGTTAATAAATGTCTTAATGTGATGAACACTGGTGCATTTAAATTGCGTTTTCAAAACGTTTTGGGGACATTTTCACAACAGAGATGTTTTTCGCTCATAGGGTTTTAAATAATATTTTATTGGAAATTTGTACTTTGTAAAATATAAAGTTCAAATGAGTTCCGATGTTAAAGTGAAATAACCAGGTTTAAATTTTTGTCTATTTTATCTCCAAATAAAAACCATAAGTGGTGCAAAACATTTTTACCATATAAAACAGTCATATGTATGGAGACTGGATTTAACTACACATAAATGAACAAAATTGGACTATTTTAAGAGTGGCAGTCTGAGAAAGTCTTTCGAAAAGAATTATGACATATTTAACTAAGAATTAAAACTATATATGATTTATGTTATGATTAAAAAATTACAAAAATTAGTCCTAGAAAGTTGTACATGAGTTATGTAGATTGGATATTGTAGTTAAAAATCCAAATAAAAGTTTCTAAATTGACATACTTTTCACAAAGCTCTACAAGAAGAATTGTTACAACATACATGATCTATTATTTTGAAGACGATTTGCCACAAAATGAAATACACTTATTGTTAATATAAAGTATCTTTTTCGATAAATCTTATCATAATTATTATAAATTTTTAATTAAAAAAATTTTTTCTTTAACATATGGTGATTTCACGTGAGAATTCAGTCGACCCTTTAAATTCAGCCAAATATATTTTTCTCTTGATCTGTAGTGAAAAAAAGAGATACGTATTTTTTTGGACAAATTTTCGAGTTATGAATTTTTAAAATTTCAGTTTGGGGTCGTTCATTAATTACGTAAGGATGATTTTGGCTATTTTGACCCCCCCCCCTCCCCCCACGTAAGATTTTTTACATGCATTAGCGCCATTTTTTCTATTGAACGTAAGAATTGCTGGACCCCCCCCTCCCCCTAAGAGCCTTACGTAATTAATGAATGGCCCCTTTTGTAAATGTAGACCTATTTTCAATGGCTGATAAACTAAAAAAATAGATTTTTTCAATTTTTGCTAAGTGAAGAAAAGTTTCACTTTTTCTTTTACTTTTCAATAATGTTAACGAAAAAAATTGTTTTTTTCATTTTTCATAATGAAATATGATTTCAGGTTCCAAAAAAAATTTTTTTAAATAATTTTTAACAATTTGTTTTACTTTTCAGAAATTTTCAGAATGCATCGCATGGTGTTTAAATGTTTATTTAAACCTATAAAACTTATCGGCCCACTCTAAATTTTAATTATAACATATTTAAATTTAAAAAACTTAATTTGTTTATAAAAAATTATTATTATATTAATAAAAAATGAAAAAAAAAATTTGTTAACATTATTGAAAGGTAAAAGAAAAACTGAAACTTTTCTTCTCTCAGCAAAAATTGAAAAAATCCATTTTTTTCGAGTTATCAGCCATTGAATATAGGTCTGAATTTATAAAACTGAAATTTTAAAAATTCATAACTCGAAAATTTGTCAGAAAAAACATACGTATCTCTTTTTTTCACTACAGAACAAAAAAAAATATATATATGGCCGAATACATATGGTCAACTGAAATCTCACGTGAAATCACCCATATATAAAAGTTAATGTTTTTTTAACTGAATCAAATATATTAATAACCCCTGTAAAATGAAATTATTATTGACAAATTGTTTCAAATTATAATTTTTATAAATATTATCTTTATTTATTTAATTCAGTTAAAACATAAAATAATAATAATGTGAAACTAAACACCATAGAAAATTCTACACAAATTAATAATGTATTAAATTGTGGGTAATTTTAATAGGTACTGACAACAATGTTTACAATTTAATTTTTAAGGATGTTCTCATTTTATTTAAAATTACATTATTTCTTTTATTTATTGTGTACAATTATTGATGTCTATTTAATAGTGTAGAATTAAAAAAAGGCATTATACATTTGCTATTTTTTATTAAAAAATATCATATACTTTTTTTTTATTTTCAAATTTTATAAATTTTGGTTTCGTAAATATTTTTGTATTAAAAATATCTTATATTTAAAAAAAAAAATTAAATTTAGAAACATTTGGCCAAAGATTAATTTTTTTTTAACTTCCCAAAAAAATATTAATAAAAAATATTATAAAAATTGTATGTAGGTTTTTAAATAAAAAAATTGTTTTTATAAATAAATAAATTATTTTTACATGTGGGCCCGATAGAAGAATTAATAATAATTATAACAAAAAATTATATTATAAAAATTATAATTATAATAAATTAATAAAAAAAATAAATAACAATTAAAATAAAAAAAATTTTATCGGCCCCAATGTAAAAATAATTAAGTAATTAATTTACAAAAACAATTTTTCTGATTTAAAAACCTATAAAATATTTTTATAATTGATTATTTTATTTATTTTTTTTAAGTTAAAAAACCTAATCTCTTGACTAAATGTTTATAGGAAAGCGCGATTTGCATTACGTGCTTACTCTCAATTCCTCTCTGTCATAAGGATCTACTTTAAGTATTCTATTAATTCATTTATCATGAAAAATTTGTATTGAAAATAACATGTGAAAAACAAGAATGTTATATTTAATATATGGAACGAGTTTGTCAAGTTATATATTGAAGTTTATGGGTTTCCTTGAGATACCGAAACAGTTCGATTAAGAAGCAGGAAATTTTTGGAGCATTGGTAGAATTCTTCCTGATAGGTCCTTCATCAATTACATTATCGTTCCTTACACTTTTCTTCAATTGCTTTGTCGTTTTTTATGTACCACTTTTCAAACTGGTTTCAACTTGCTTTCGGATCATCACCCCTTTTACTTTAATAATTCGAATTTTTTCTATATTAAAATACTCCTTTTAACAATATTGTAGTATTTGAGATTTTATTGTAGAATCATTTTCATTACCTGAAATTTTTTAAGACGTGTTAAAAAAATGTTTTTTATTTATTTCTTTTCGGTTTAAAAAACCAAAAACGTTTCTTTCTATAGAAAACTGATTAGAATTTCTATGATAATAAAGGCAAATATATAATTCAGTTGAAACGTATTTTTTCGCAAAATTAAGATTTTTTGGCTACATGAGTTCTTTAACCTTTCCCTTTATTAACGTGGTTTCACTGAAAGATTCTTCCTGATATCGTTTGTTTTATGATGCATTTGTTCTCAAGGACGTTTTATTTTTTATGATTAATGAAATTGCAGTTTTTACTGCATACACATTACACGTTCCACGCATTACATGTATGAAGCACAAGTAATCTCACATAATCTGAGTTTTTTATGTACACAAAAGGTTTTGATTCGTTTGTTCATCGAATAAATAATTACCAATGACACGGGAAATTCTTACATTGATAATCAAATTCTTCATTAGAATTAGAAATTATCTGATAAACTTGTAATTAAAATTATATAATTAACATTCAATGCTCTCTACATATTTTTTAGTTAGGCTTAGATTTTTTCTGTATTTTTTATGTAATTCTTTAGTTTTATTTATTCTTTATTAAATGTTTAAAAAAAGTGTAAATTCCGCCTTGTTTGTTATTTAATTGTTACCGTTAATTCCGAGACTCTTTAATGTGTTTTTTTTAAACTTTGAAGCCTTACGATGCTCTTCTTCA